AATTGAAACGTATAATTAGCACAGATGCCTTAATTACTGGGTAAAGTAAATATTAAACCAACATTTTATTAATTTAGTACATTGATGTTATTGGATAAATTTTCCAAAATACTATCCTAGATTAAACCCCTTAATAGCAGATCCATATTACTTCAGAGGGTTCTCTCGGAAATCCATAATAACATTAGAAACATTAATCACATAGTTAAATATGCAGAACACGAGGAATTATAAACATAGTTTAATGATTTTATAAACCTAAATACCACTAATATTGAACACTGCCACGGACTGTCAATCAATATTAGAAAAGGCCATAAATTTGGTCGATTTCTTGGGGCTGCCGCACGCTTTCGATTGATAAGCATGGCCAAGACAAACTGTTTTCATCCCCCCCTTGAAGAGATCCAGCCTTCAGTGGGTTATTTAAAGCGCATCAATCACTGGAGGCCAATGGAAAACACAAACACACATTTACCAGAGTTTAGCCGATGCAATCACGTCAAGGAAAACTCAAACTCAAACTGGCTAAAGAAACTGTTGGCCAGTTGGCTGGCCATCCGAGTATCCAAGTATCCAAGCATCAAAGTATCCAAGCATCCAACTAACCAACTGCGTGTCTGGGTGCTGAGGCGGCGAAGAAATTGCAGTTATGCTCTGATTTGTACCAGTTTTGACTTTCTTGTTTATGGCGCATTAATTCACAGAGATTGCTTTATTATTTATTTATTGTCAGTTTTCTTTCTCCAAAGCGTCGGGCGAAAAAAGAGAGAAGAAAAATTACCAATGCCATCGAGGCGATTCGATTCGAATCGAACCGATAGATCGATGTGTTTATATTGATATCTCCATCGCCAAGTGCGTGGAATGTCCAAAAAAAGAAAAGAGTCGAGACGTTATCTTTCTTTTTGGTTTTTCGTTAGGCACGTTGTCTCTTTTGTTGGCCAGCTCGTTTTCCTTTGGTCATTTCACTTTCAAAATCATCTCACGACATCTCAACGCGTGGTCACCAGCCACCGAAAGCCAAAAAAAAAATGAGAAAAAATATAATAAATAAATAAACACGACACAACATGGCACAAACAACCTACAGAAAAATCCACACCGTCATCAAGATGGATTTAACTTTCGGTTTTCGTGGGTCCCCCGCCGGACTTTTGAGATACATCCGCTTCCCGTGTGCAGCCAGAAACCCATAAAATTATGAACCAGATGTGAAAGAAAGAAAGTGACAAAGCCCTGAGCGGGAGGGGTGTGGCTCTTTCATCGTTGTCTTACGCAATGGGTTAAACTCCATTTGGGGTTTTTTTTTCATACAAATTTCTTATAAACGTGCCGCTCTGCCAAGCATTTAATTTCAAAATGCTCCAGCTGTCGTGTAATTTTCAACGCTTCGCCTCGCTTCTTTCCAAATGTCGTCGAGAGTGAATTTTCGGTGTCTGGCAGAGATTGCTATTACATAACGTAAATCCAATTATGTGGCGGAATGAGACAACTTGAAAGCTTTCCGCAATCCTGTGATCTGAGCCATAACCCAGGTTGTAATCGAAACATTTATGGGGGGCGTTGTATTTTGACATGGTTTTGATGAATTGGATCCCGAATTATGAAAGAAAAGTTCATGCACACAAATTGGAAGGCAGGCTTATGAAATACATTGCTTTAGGTCATTATTTTGAAATATTTCAATGATTAAAGCTTACGTTTAGTCAGGCAAAGGCTTGCTCTTAAATAAGAAAGTTGCTAACGTAAAATTTTAACGGAAGAAAAATAATAAATTATAAAATAACTTTGTTTTAAGATATTATTTAGGAAATAGTTCCAACATTTAAGGCAGTTGTGAGCTTTCACAAAAATTTATAAAGGTGCGACTAACAGTCGTTAAGAAATTTTCACAAAATGCTAAATGCAACACTGCGTATACGTGATATACTTCTTAAAGAGCTTAAAGCCTCATTACGCATACGCCCAGTGGCAGAATTTTCTGTAAACTTCAAGATTTCTGACAGAAAAAATTGGTATAGGGAGTTTTTAGAAAAGATTTCATAAATCAGACGTCATCCCGAATATCTTTAATATTAAATTATATTTGACCCATTTTCTAATCAATATTCCCTTTATTTTCCACCCACAGCACCTTTCAGTGCATGGCGATGCCTCGCACATCGAGTCCGCCGCCCTGCCCCTCGAACACAGGGCCGGCTATGGTCCACCTGCACCCATTTACGGAGCGCCCCAGGGTCCCCTGAGCACCGGAGCCACCAACGATGTGTCCGAGGAGGCCTGGCCCCTGGCCAGCACCAACGATAGTCCGCAGATCAAGCACCTGCAGGTGCAGTGCGAGAAGACCCACATGCGGGTGAACATCGAGTTCGACCGGCCCTTTTACGGCATGATCTTCTCCAAGGGATTCTACAGTGATCCCCACTGTGTGCACCTGAAACCGGGAACCGGCCACCTGAGCGCGACCTTCGAGATCTTCCTGAACAGCTGCGGCATGACCAGCTCCGCCAATCACAATGCAGCCGGATATGGAGCTCCTACGCCATCGGGCAGCTATGTGGAAAACACGATCATCATCCAGTACGATCCGTATGTGCAGGAGGTGTGGGATCAGGCCCGCAAGTTGCGCTGCACCTGGTACGATTTCTACGAGAAGGCCGTGACCTTCAGGCCCTTCCAGGTGGACATGCTGCATGCGGTGACCGCTAACTTCCTGGGCGACAATCTGCAGTGCTGGATGCAAATCCAGGTGGGCAAGGGACCCTGGGCCTCCGAGGTCTCCGGAATCGTGAAAATCGGACAGACAATGACCATGGTGCTGGCCATCAAGGATGATGAAAACAAGTTCGACATGCTGGTTCGCAACTGTGTGGCTCACGATGGCAAGCGGGCTCCCATCCAGCTGGTGGATCAGAATGGCTGCGTAGTGAGGCCCAAGATCATGAGCAAGTTCCAGAAGATCAAGAACTTTGGACCCTCTGCATCGGTGGTTAGCTTCGCCTACTTCCAGGCCTTCAAGTTCCCCGACTCCATGAACGTGCACTTCCAGTGCGTCATCCAGGTGTGCCGCTACAACTGCCCAGAGCCCAAGTGCGGTCCTGGTCTGCCTGGCGGCGAGTACGGTCTGCCCCAGATTGGTGCCAATGGTCTGTCCGAGGAGTACGGTCCACCGGAGGCCTATGAGAGGAATGATTTCGCTTTGGGAGGCCCTGGAGTCCTGCCCCCAGCTGCCTATCCCGATCCACGTCACCCTGCCAACGATGCCACCGGAGCCTACTCGGAGAACCAGCCGGATGTGGTGCCCTCGCCACAGGCCCAGACCTCGGCCGCGGTGCCCACTGCCGACTCAGGATCCGTTTCCGGACCGGCCAGCTCGCAGTCTCCTCAGCCTCAGCCCACGGGCAGCAATGAGCTGGGTCTGCCACCACCACCACTCCCAGGACAAAGTGGTCAGTACAGCACAGTGAAGCGCAAGGATGACCTGAGTGCCGGTGGCAATCTGGTTTCTCTGGGAGGACGACCTCGATCCGTGGAGGGATTGGACGATCTGCGGGGCGTGCGCCGGCGCAGGGACACCATGGACATTGTGATGAAGCCGCAGAGGATCTACAAGCGGAATGCGCAAGAGATGACCGATGTGAACACCAGCCGGATCATCCAGGTGGTGGCGCCCGGAGATGTGAACTTTGCGCTGAACAGCAATGCCAGCAACGAGACGGTGGTCATCCAGTCTGCCAGGTCCGCGGATGCGGAGACCATCTGCATGTCGGTGCCCAGCTTCGTGGGAGGATTGGTCATGCTGCTGCTCGTCCTGGCCGTCGCCTCTCTAGTCGCCGCCTTCCTCTTCGTCCGTGTGCGCCACTTCGATCGCAAGGGAGCGGGCATGGCCTATGTGAACTAATCTGGAGCCGGGAATCGGGAATCTAGAGTCTGGAGCACCAGAAGCATCATCATCAGCGACGACGATCGGCGTGAACAGAAAACCAAATCAGTTTTATGTGCACTTCAGAAACACTCATTCACATCCCTCTACCGCACTTCATCAGCAATCTTTATAGGCACCCCCTATACTCCACCTATTTATTCTTCGGTTATTTATTGAGATCACCAGTCTCCTCCTTTACCACTACGCTCTATCTTCTGTGTCCTCTATTTGTTTCCCTAGTTTTAGACGAAGCGAAATTGAATTGTCAGACTTGTTAAGTTTCAGTTATACCTACAAAGGATTTGAGGCCATCTGATCGGACAGATAAGCCTCGAATGTTACAATATGCAAGTTAATATCGAAAAACAAAACGAAGTAAAGAAGCGGCAAACATGGAAAAGCAGAAAATCGTTTACAATAAGTTAATATAGCAAATGTATATATTAAATTATTTATTTATTACTTTATTTGATAGCTGCGAAATAATAAAAAGTTTACTTTTATTAAGCACAGAGTGTTTTAAGTGGTTCTATTACCATTCATTATCGGGCAAGGTGTTCACTGATAAGGAAAAGCAAACAGAGCTAGTGCAAACTTTATCAAGGTGATGAAATGTTAGGGCTGGTGGGGGCTTGATAAGCCTTTGTTTTGGCTGCGACTGGGAGTTTTTGCTAAAAATAAAAAAGTTTGGTCAAAAAAATTAATAGGCTTTATACCATATGGGGCTTCATATCACGGTAATTCTCACATCTTGAATTTGCAATCTAATGATTACCACTCCTAACCTTAAAATGTTTTATAAAGTTGTGATGAAAAGTATACTACATTCTTTTGATTGGCTTTTTAAAACTGCATTATCATTATGATACCGAGGAAAAACTAGCAAATAATTTTATAAATTGATATTGATATATGTAAATTAATTTCATAAATAATATTTAAGTTATTTATTTTGATAGAGTAGAAGATTTAAATAAGGTCATCAAGAGTATACAAAGGCTTTCATTATTGATAGGAACCTGATACCTACGTCAGAATACACACCGCAAGATAAAGAAAACCAAAAGATAACTACGAAAGTACATGTAAATTTATTGGGAACACATATTTACATATCGATCTAATCCCATTGAGCTTAAACACTTTAAAAAACAACAGCGTGCGCAAATCCGCAACTGGAATTTATCCGGACTTATGCACGCATCTATAATAGCCGCCTGAGCTTCGTGTCCCTGGGACAGAACATACGATTTCGTTCAAAAAATATTGACTACATCTAGGTTGAACTAAAGCATATTAGCACTCAAAATTGCAACAATTGATAACAGTGGGTGGCGTCTGTCTACGCGGCACGGGCGTCATTGATGGTGGAGGGCACATGGACCTCCAGGCCCTCCATGTCCTTGGACAAGATGATTTGGCAGCCCAAGCGCGAGGTGTCCGTCAGTTCGTAGGCCAGATCCAGCATGTCCAGCTCCTCATCACCGGGTTTGTCGGGCAGTTTTTCGAAATCGCTGGTCTTGAAGATCAGGTGGCAGGTGGAGCAGGTTAGGGTGCCCTCGCAGGCGCCAAAGCCATCCAAATCAACACTGTTATTGACCACCACGTCCAGCAGCGAGTCGCCCACTTTTCCCGACGTCTTAATCTTGTCCCCGTTGGCACGCACGAAGGTTATGTTAACACTGCAAACAGAGATTGGTCAATGTTTATGTTGGTTGCGAGGTGTGGAATGGCCATTGTGCACGGCTCATGTGGTTGGGGCTACTCACACATCTTTCGTTTTCAGGGCCAATCCCGCCGAGAAAGTGCGCGTTGCGATCGGGGATCGCAGGTTGAGGCTGCGGAGGGCCAATCTGGAGGCAGCTCTGCAAGTGTTTATGACTAGCATTCTGGCGAAGATTCCTTCTCAATCTCTATCTAGCACTGACCACACGCACCCACTCGTGTCGCTGCGATCGGTTGTTAAATAATAAAAGTTCAAATTAAAACTTAGTTGAACGTGAAGTCGCAATATGACCGTAGCGGGACTTTCCAAAAAACTACCGGCAGACTACATGTACTAAAAGACTACAAAACTACTAAAATCGGAAAACGACGTGTTCACACACACCGCACAAGCAGAGTATCAGCTGATTGTCCTCCAAGTCCTTAAAGTTTAAAATAATGAACAATCTTAAACAAATAAGTATAAATCCACATTTCTTCTAATTTATAAAAATTTTCAGCAGTATATCAGACATGCTTACCTTCGCCAATTTAGTTCCTATTGAAAAACAAATCGCTATTGCTGTTGCGGCTTCGGTGTGAAAACTTAAAATACTGAAATAGGGTTGCTGTAGTAGAGACCTGTATTCATCTGCAAACCACCTGGCAACCCTGCGCGTCATAACAAAAAAACAGATAACAGAGTGGAATAAATTAAATTACGTTTTAAAAGCTAAACAATGGGCGTGTTTGACAATGTTGCGACCTACTTCACGGGGGAGGCATCCAGAAACAGGAACTCCTCGTTAATAGCCGGCCTGCTGGTAAGGATTCGACCGCAGACATGAGTCGCCCGCCGCCCACCTGACAGTGCAACTTTTTTCCTAGTTTTTTGCAGGATGGTGGGTTCTAATCGATGCCATGTCCATCGATGGCAAGCACCAGATTACCACAGGACACGTCTTTATTGGCATCTTCGGCACCATCAGCTTTTGCATGGTGAACGCGGTGAAGGGGGAACACGTAAGACGGAGGCCACTATTTCTTAGGGTTAACCAAATGACTCACTCCCATTGTTTTGTGTGCAGATCTCTGAGGAGAACCCCTCCGAATCGGGAGCCAGGATAGCCAAGATCTGGCTGCTCGTTGGCTTCGTAATGGGCTTTGCCTCCATCATTGCCGCCGTCTGGGTGATGATCGATGACTTCATCAACAATGGTGAGAGATCAACCCGACTTTTATGGGTACATACCGTCGTTAACTCTTTATAACCCCCCTGCAGAAAAAAAGGATGGCTGGTTTGGAGTTGCCTTGCTGACGCAGAACGTCTTCATCCTGTTCGCCAGTCTGATCTACAAGTTCGGTCGCAACGAGGAGGAATGGAACGAGTAGAGGGCTTCCATCCAAAATTATGCACACGGGAACGCTGCTTTTAGTATCTAGACTCATACGTACATATTCAGGAGTCCCAAGAGTTATTGCCGGAGGCAGAGGACACCATCACTCGCAAGGCCTCACCCCATTCATAAGCATAACTTGTACATCTCTGTTTCCAATCAGATTCGAAGGAATCGATGAAGTCGTAAGGTAGTTCGTATGTAAAACCCCATTACTTCCTATTCTACCAATTTGAGTCAGAGTGGAAAGCAGAGTAGGGCTAATAATCTCATTTATATTAAAAATAATAAACGACAAGTCACTTGCGTAAGGCCACCTTTGAGCTGTGCTTTATTATCAGGCGGAGAGCGATGTGAGTGGGAACAGGACGATCACCCAAAGCCGCCCACCGCCCCGACTACATCTATAAGTATAGTGGCCGGTAAGAGGAAAGACTTAATAGCGAGTCAAATTTGTGCATCGTACGCGTCAATGGGACACTCGTGCTCGTTCTGCAGGCACCACTGCGGCTGCATGGCCTCCGCACCCAGACCGTTGTCCACCAGACGCTGGCGGTGGAGCAGCAGACGTGACTCGGCCTGGCGCCAACCCCCAGCAGGTGCGGACCACAGACGCTCCGCCAAGGCACTGGCCCTCGGCCAGAAGCGGTTGTCCAGCGTGTGCTCGTCGATCTGCTCCGACCAAATTGCTGCTTCGGCTCCCAAAACATGGTGCTCGTAGTCGCCGGCAATGGATGTCAAGCTGTTGTCGTACACCTTCTGCCAGCCAATGTAGGGGGAGCACCAGTTGTTGCCATCGGTTACCCAGCCAGCTCCGCCGCAGTCCAAGTACAAAGCATCATAGTTGGATACTATGATCTTGTAGCCCCGCTCCAGGATCTTCTTCACCTTAGGATCGGCGCCAGTGGTCCAGATCTGAATGATGTAACGCTCCGGGTTCAGATACTGATCAATGAAGGGCTCTTCTGTAAGTCCACTGGTCCATAGGATGATGGGCGTTTGCTTGCCATTGGCAACCTTGTCCACGCGGCTGAGTGCCTCCGTCTGGAAGTGACCCCACAAGCGCATAAAGTCGGCGGCCTCCAGACCCCAACCCTGCTTCTTCATCCACTTCTGGATGGTCAGGCTGCTGTTCCAGCAGCTGGTGGACACCTCATCGCCGCCCATGTGGAAGACATCCGGGTTGAACTGCTCGTACATGGTGCCGTAAATGTCCTCCAGGACATCGTACATCTCATTTACAGTGGGATCCAGTTGGCCACACGGTGGCTCCACGCAGAAAGACTTCCATGGCTGGGCATTGAAGCAGGCGGTCATGTTCTTGTGCTGCCAGCCCTCACCCACATGGGCAGGAGCATCGAACTCTGGCATAACACGGATTCCTCGCACCCGACCGTACTCCACAACCTCGGCCACATCCCGACGCGTGTACACCTGGCGCTGGGAATAGGCTCCCAGCTTGTGCAGCTCCGGGCGCTTTTCCACCTCCAATGGGAAGCTATGGGAATCCGTGATGTGCCAGTGGAAGGTGTTCAACTTTACCAAGGCCATGCCCTCTAAAGAGGAAAGAAGGATAATCGTTAAACTCCCGGAAAATGCAACCTTCTCCTCCCTTTATCATCAACCAATGCCTTACCCAACGTTCTCTTAATGGATTTCACAGAGTAGAAGTTCCGGGAGGTGTCCAGGAGCAAGCCACGCCACTTGTACACCGGAGCATCGGTGATGGTGACATTGGCAGTCACCTGAACCTCTCGGCGTATGTCATCGTAGACGATCAACTGGGCTAGGGTCTCCAGACCATGGCGGGCTCCAAAGAAATTAGCCGCTGTGATGTTGGCCAGCACATGTCCCGAGGCATCCGTGTCAATTTCCAGGGCATAGCTCTCATCCGTTTCCAGGGTGAGTCGGGCCGGAGCTGGCTCATCCGGAGTGTTAATGCTTACAGTCATACGATAGCCACCTCGGGCAAGGACTTTGCGATCCGGGATCTGGACGTTCAGCATGTCCATGAAGCGGGTTTCAGCCGCTCGCCACAGCTTCTCCTGGCGGCCAGTACCGTTGACATTGAAGTCGATGAAGGATATGTCCACCTGGCGCATCAGCGTGTCCAGACGCACTGTGCCCGTGGGCTTGGGCCACAGGGTGCCGATGGAACTGCCGCAGAAAAGCCGGCACACGGGCATGCTGATGGCCTTGGCGTAGTTCTCCTCGCTGAGCTCCACCTTCTGGCAGAGACCTTTCCGGCACTCATAGCCGTAGACCAGGTCGCTGGGGTTGGGGAAACAAGTCGAAGAGAAAGTCAGCCACTGATCGGAGGTATTTTCCATCTATACTATTTGATAGCAAGCACTTACTCCGCGCTGTGGGCCGTCAGTTGAGCCACCAGGGCCAGGAGCAGAGCCACTCCTAGTGCAGTCCGCTTCATTTCGTCAACCTCAGCACAGAAACTCTCAAAGCCAACTGGCGAACGCTTCGGGAATTATAATTAAACAAATTGAGTTTTTCGAAACAAGTTTTTACCGCCGAGTGCCAAAGAGTCAAGTCAAGTAAACAAAGAACCGGATTTTCTGCAATCCCACTTTTGAATACCCTTCCCCATGGGCACGTGGAAATTGTTGGGAATAATAATGAAAACATTTATAGAAAACTAAACTTTAATTCACTAAAAGTAAAATTGTATTTTTATGTTTTTTAGACACAAAACTATTTACATAATATAAATGTAAATAAGATGAGTGTTTTTTAAAAACAAAAAGTACAATCTGATAGTTTATTTTAATCGTTTTCCTTGGAAATAAAATGTGTAATTATTTTGGTTGACACTAAACTGCTTTTTATCGGGGGTATAACAACACACAGTATCATTTTTATTCTTAGAATAAAATAAAATTGTTCTGGTCTAATATTTAACAAAAATGTTTACCAAACTGCTTAATAAAAACCCCAAAAGGACAAATAATCCAGTCCAAGGCCCAGAAAGAAGTTCTTTAAAGAATTTTGCTCACAATAATTCACCGCCGCACAGATAAAGGTTATTCCAAATCGATTCCAACTGAACTTGCTGGCTGTTCAGTGCAGACTAAAGCTATGGCTTCCCCCTATTGCCAATTTATCTGCCCACCAGCATTGATTCTGGCCAACGCACACACCCACAATTGCCGAGGTGGGGAAAGAATAGGGAATGTCAAGACAAGATTACATAGTTTTGCTTTTTAATTATCTTTCTCTGGGCCGGTCGTCGTATTTTTAAGTTCAAAGCCACTGGCAGAATAGAAATCTGGAATCGTAAATCTTGGGGAACGAGAATTCGGCCACAACGGACTCTCAATGAGATTGCGAGTGGGTAATAAAATTTATAACGTCTTCTTTGGAGCGTACCTAAATCCATTGAGTTATTTTTATTTTCTAATATAAAATTATAATTCTACGTAGGATTAACGCCCTTCAGCGTTAGTGTGTTATCCTCGTAGACTTCCAGAACATCGGCCAAATGTTCGTTGTCTCTGGGCTTCTTGAACTGCCGCTTCTTGTTAGCCGCCTTCTTGCGCTTGGGAACGGGTTTCTTGAGGCCATGATCCTGCATGGAGCGAATGCCCTGTTTTTCCAGATACTCGTCGATCTTGGCATCGTCCATTGCGTCAACCGTAGCTGAGCGCCATAGTTTCTGGAACTCTTCGTCCACCTGAATGGAAATAAAATATATTTAATTTATTTTCAATCAAACTAGATATAATGTAAACATATTGCTGATAGTTAAATTCGATATAAACCTAAATTTAAATTTTAGACCACTTTTACTAACAAAGTACTCCTTAAAACATAAGTTAAAATTTGTAAGACCTTGGTTTTTGGTTAAGTCCATAAAAAATAAACTCACCGAAAAGTTAGCGGTCCTATCGTTGTAGAATAATATCTTCTTTTTGTCAATGGGTCTAATGATGAAAAGTATTTCGGCAGCTCGGTTTTTCAGGACCTTTTCGCAGTGTGGCAGGGATTCCTGAACGTCATCAAGTAAAATGCCGCCCAGGCCCTTTAAATCGTGTTGTTTCAACAGGCGCATCAGGGTTTTGCCATCCTTGATTTTGTAGACTGGCTTGAAACTAAACTTGGTGCCACAGGGACTGGCTTCCACCTTTGGATTGTTGTGCAGAGCCTCGCTGGCAAGCCACTAGAACAGAAAAATGATATATTATCATCTTAGGGAGTGTGTAACAACTACAACTGACATTCTTAACGGATTGGCCAATGTCCAGTTGGTTGGTCTCGTCGAGAATCTCCTCAATGGTCAGTGGATGATCATCGCCATCCTGGTGGCGTGTGCGCATGAATTTCACAATCTTGGCCAGTACTCCAAAGCGGTACTGGGAACTGCCGGACATGGTCTTGTATCTGGGAATGGGTTAAGAGAAGACCACATGGTAACAGCCTCATCCTGAGTCAGGATAAGCCCTCAAAGAACTCACGTTGAAGCATCCAGCTTGGGAGCCGTCGGAGGACGCATTTTACGTTTGGAATCATCGCTGGGTGGCGGTGGAGCTGGTCTATCGGGCTTGGACTTCTTCTCGACGCTATTTTGAAAAGATAATACATTACTTTCAAGCAACAATCTTCATTAAGGGGCCCTGATGGGTGGTACTCACGTGGGCGTGGCCATCGCCCGCTTTTTGAAGGCCTCGCGTTCTCTAAGCAGTGCTGGATCCATTTTGTTTGCTTTTTATTTTTTTATCTTTATTAAAAACTAGCTTTGTCGATTAAATCAAAAATTCACAAAGTCAAAACAAATTCCTACTCAGCTGTCTGTGGAACCAGTTTACCAGGGCTGCGTAACCGTCGCCTTGGAGTGGAACTAGTTTCGAACTGGTTCACTTTATACTCTATAAATACGGTCTGTTGATTTTGAAACATTCCCACGTCAAACGTTTAAAAGTTGCTATAATTTTAACTAATTTAGTTTTTATTAAATCTAATAAAATAGATATTCTGCTATATGCAGTTCCTTCAAAGTTTGAATGTGAAACTCGCATAAAATGTCAAAACAAAGGGGTTATTTTAGATCCCTTTTTAACCATAAATGTTTCTGAAAATATTTTATTTTTATCTTCCCAAATATAATTAAAACACACAAAACTCGTTACGTTTTTAAAGTTTGATTTATTTATGGATATTCTACAGTAAAATATCAGTTAAATCTAATATATAAAATAAATGTATCGTGAGTTTACGAGACAGAGTCAATACTCTTGGGAAATTCATTGTTTTTGAATTCATCGGTTTTCTGAATCTCGTCGGAATACGTTAGTAATAGTTTATGTTATAAGGTTTTTCTGTATTACGGATAGATTCTGAAGACCCCCCCAGCAGTATTTTTATACATATACACGACATTTGGTATATATAATATAGCAAGCATTGCGGTTTCGTTGGATCGGAAGGGTCGAAAGAGTCTTTGTACAAGTGCTCTGTACGAGAGGCCCTTGAGTTAGTCAATGGTAGTCAATGGGTGCAGTGAATTCGTTGGCTGTTTGTTCACCCGTCTCCGTTCTCTGTATCCGTTTCCGGTCTGTTTTCTCCAGTCCTCGTGGTTCTTGTGGCATTCCGTTAAGAGAGTGTTGATGTGTTGGTGGTTTTTGCTGTTCTTGTTGTTTGGTTGTTGCGTGGTTGGTGGTGGTCGGTTCAACTGTTTTTTATCGGACTGTATTCTCAAGTTAGTTTCGTACTCGTACATTGCGTTCTCTGTAAGTTCTTGGTTGTCAGTGGGTCTGTGGAGACAGAAAGATAAAAATGGTTTGACTTATTATGTTCGCTCTCAGGGGCGGCATAGATATCGTCAATTGCCAACCGGTGCACAGGGTAATTCTATATACTATTCGCTTGGTCGAACAGAAGTGTCTGTACACAATCGTTAAGCGAAAGTGTAAGTTAAATCGTAAAGAGGTTTCGGTTCGGAATTTAAACAACTACTTACCTCGGACCACGGCATCACTCCAAATATGGCTACATTAAAAGATACGGAATTTATGATTTCTATCTATCTACTTACACTTAGTTACGCCTCAGACGTTTGCGCCCACCGTCATCGCCGTCGGATCCATTGCGCTCCTCCGCCTCCATGACCTGAAATAGGATTGAAAGTGATATAATTACTCAATTTATGCTCAAATAAAATGTCATTACGGAAAGATGCAACTTTTCCATATTTAAAGACTCCAACCAGTTATAAATATATTTGATTTGGTGGATTTCAAGAAAAAAGCGAGTTCAAAGTTTATACCTTAATTTTAGTGCCGCATATTTCGGCGCCGTTTAGGGTGTCAATGGCCAACTGGGCACTCTCAGTCTCCGCAAACTTGACGTAGCCGCAGTTCTTGTTCGGCAGTAGATAGACGTCGATCAGTCCCGACCAGCAGGAGAATATGTTTTTCAAGATCGAATGCGGTAAATTCTGAATTGTAAAAGACAACGTTCATAACTAATGTCGATTGGACACAGTACAGTGGTACCTACCGCTGAGAGCACAATGAACAGACGCTGGGCCACCTGGGCGTCGGGCGAGGCCAGTGGCTGAGTTGGGGGCAAGGGCACATTGCAGATGGCCTCCTTTTTGGTGCGCTCTATAATGAAAAACCACAAGATTATAGAAACTAGATAGAGCAACGTTTAGCATGCATTTCAGGCCCAGCAAATTTAAGATAGTAAGCCAAGTTAAAGTGTTTAATATATGGCTACAGGTGATGGCGCGGCCTAAAACCCTTAAAAGATTTAACTCTCGTACTGTCTATAAAGGATGTATCCATTCGAGCCGAGCTCATTCCATTCACTTTGACAATTAAGCGTTCGCCCACGGGATATTCCAGACCATGAAGTTTATCCCTACAGAAAAGAGATATTAAATCGTCGGTTTCAAAATGTCCATAGAGCTAAATTTACTTGGCATAAATAGCAGCTTCTGGGTTGTCGTACACTACTAAGGCTTCATTAGTGCGCGGTCCACCTGTGAAGGACAGTACATTTAGTTTAAGTGCTTGCAGAGAAATTAGAAAGATAACTCACTTTCTCGCATGATTTGACAGTAATCTAGACCGGGAATGATATCGAAGAGTCGCCAGAGCTGATCCTGGTTGACGCAATTGCTGACGTTCACCTCGAGGCACGAGGGCTGGGCCACTGGGACATTCTGCATGCGTAGAAAGGCCGACATGTCGTTGTTCTGCGACAAATTCCAGTCGTTGTTGTAGCTGCCGTTGTTGCCGCCATCCCTGTTATTTCCTCCGCCATTGAAATTGGAATTGCCACGTCCCGACCCATTGAACAAGGGATTATCCTCGGAAGGACGACCGTACTGGTCCCTTTGTGAGCGAGTAGAACCCTTCGGTTCGGCAAACACAGCCTTATACTTGGCCGAGCAGTTCTCAAAGGCCACAGCTGCATGGTAGAACCTGTCAATTAAGATATAGATTAGTCAGGCCTGAAGACTTAGTAACGCTGCATTTGCCACTCACTTGGTGAACCGGACGTAGCCGAAACCCTTGGGACTGCCACTATTCTTCTCCTTGACAATTGTGACGTGTTCCACCTCGCCCCATTGGGAGAACTCTTCGCGGATGTCCTCCTCGGTGGCCGTTTTGGGGATCACTATGAACAGTCTTACATACTTTTCCTGCTCGTTTTCGGACTTATTCGAGCCCTGATTGCGGCTGAAAAGTTGGAGGCAAGGATTAGGCCCTGCTTGCGGGTATAACCAATATCTAATCTTACTTGGCTGCCACGAGGACTTTCAGGGTGCGGTCCAAGTTGCCGATGGTCTTGCCGTTCATCTCCTCCTGCGCCTTGGCCGCATCAGAGGTCTTGGAGAACTTGACGTAGGCGATTCCCTTGTTCTCCTGGGTGTGCTTGTCCTTTACCACCCAAATGTCCTCGATATCGCCGTAAGGCGAAAATGCCTCGCGGAAGTCCTCCTCCGAGTGGGCCTTGTTGCAAATGATGAACAGCCGCGACATCGGCGGATCATCGTCGTTGGAAAACTCCTCGCGGCCGCCACGTCCTCCACCGCTGCGAGATTGGGATCTGAAGTCCGACATGGTTCTGTTCTATTTTCCGCTTGGATAACTTTTCAATTCACTTCACTTTTTCCACTTTGCAAATTGATGGCCGTATACACAAAATCTAGTGATGGGCGTTACTCGATGATTGTGTGACCGCAAAACCATCGATAAATTCTACTCAGCAGCTCTGAGAAATATACTTTTTATACCAATTAATTATTCAAAATATACCAAACATATTACGAGTGGGGAAACAAATTTATAACTCCCTCTTTCGAGCGTACTAATGCCTAATCTAAAATACAAATTATACGTAGGATTCACGACTTTCAAACCGTCGGTCAAATGCTCGTTGTCTCTGGGCTTTTTATTGGCCGCCTTCTTGCGCTTGGAAACGAAAAGTATTTCGGCAGCTCTGTTTTTCAGGACCTTTAAAAGTAAAATGTCACCCAGGTCATTTAAATCGTATTGTTTCAACAATCCTTGATTATGTAGACTGGATGAAACTTTACTTGATGCCACATGGTCACCTTCGGATTGTTGAATAAAATACAACTAACATTCTGAACGGATTGGCCAATGTCCAGTTGGTTGGTATTGATGTGGATGTCCATCGCCGTCCTCGTGGAGTGTGCATATGAATTTCACTATCTTGACCAGCACTTTAAAGCGATACTGGGAACTGCCATATTTGGTCTTGTACCCGGGAATGGGTTAAGAGAAGTCCACATGGCTTAGGCCCCATCCCGAGCCAGGATATGCTCTTGAGGAACTCACGTTGAGGCATCCAGCTTAAGAGCAGTCGGAGGACTCATTTTACGCTGGGAATCATCGCCGGGTGCCGGTGGAGCTGGTCCATTGGGCTTGGACTTCTTTTCGATGCTATTTTGAATGGGTATTACACATGCAAACATGTATACACGACAATTTTTTTGGGTTCCCAAATATAATTGAAACACAAAACGCATTACGTTTTCCATAAAGTACGATTTATTTATTGGGCTTCTACAGTAAAATATGAGTTAAATCTAATATATGAAAAGAAATGTATTTTACGCACGGCTAAATCGTGAGCTTACGAGACAGAGTCAATACTCTTGAGAAATTTATTATGTTTGTTTATGTTATACAGTTTTTTTCTGTATTACGGGTAGATTTAAAAGTCCCCCAAGCGGTATGTTTAACATACTCGTATGATATAAGAAGCATTGCGGTTTCGTTAGATCCGTTTAAAGGTCGAAAGAGTCATTCTACGAGTGCTCTGTACGAGAGCACCTTGAGTTAGTCAATGGTAGTCAATGGGTATGGTGAATTCGTTGACTGTTTGTTCTCCGTTCGCCGTTTCCGTTTCCGGTCTGCGTTCTTCAGTCTTCGTAGTTATTGTGGCATTCCGTTAAGAGTGTTGCTGTGGTGGCTGTTGTTGTTGTTCTTGTTGTTTGGTCATTAGTCGATTGGTTGTAAGTTAAGTTGGTGGTGGTCAGTTCAACTGTTTTTTATCGGACTGTATTCTCAAGTTAGTTACGTACTCGTACATTGCGTTCTCTGTAAGTTCTTGATTGTCAGTAAGTCTGTGGAGATAAAAAGATAAAAATGGTTTGGCTTATTATGATCCCGCTCAGTGGCGGCATAGATATCGTCATTGGCCAACCGGTGCACGGGGTAAGTACCATACTATTGTCTTGGTCGAACAGAAGTGTTTATACACAAGCGTTAAGCGAATGCGTAAATTAAATCGTTAAGAGGTTTCGGTTCGGAATTTAAACAACTACTTACCTCGGACCACGGCATCACTCCAAATATGGCTACATATAGTACGGGATTTATGATTTCTCATCTATCTACTTACACTCAGTTACGCCTTAGACGTTTGCGCCCACCGTCATCGCCGTCGGATCCATTGCGCTCCTCCGCCTCCATGACCTGAAATAGGATTGAAAGTGATATAATTACTCAATTTAAGCTCAAATAAAATGTCATTACTGAAAGATGCAACTTTTCCATATATAAAGACTCCGAAAAGTTATAAATAAATTTGGTTTGGTGGGTTTCAAGTAAAAAGCGAGTTCAAAGTTCATACCTTAATTTTAGTGCCGCATATTTCGGCGCCGTTTAAAGTGTCAATTGCCAACTGGGCACTCTCAGTCTCCGCAAACTTGACGTAGCCGCAGTTCTTGTTCGGCAGTAGATAGACGTCGATCAGTCCCGACCAGCAGGAGAATATGTTTTTCAAGATCGAAAGCGGTAAATTCTGAATTGTAAAAGATAAAGTGTATAACTAGTGTCAATTGGACACAGTACAGAGGTACCTACCGCTGAGAGCACAATGAACAGACGCTGGGCCACCTGGGCGTCCGGCGAGGCCAGTGGCTGAGTTGGGGGCAAGGGCACATTGCAGATGGCCTCCTTTTTGGTGCGCTCTATAATGAAAAACCACAAGATTATATAAACTAGATAGAGCAACGTTAATCATGCATTTCAAGCCCAGCAAATTTAAGATAGTAAACCAATTAAAAGTGCTTAATAAGTGGCTACAGGTAATGGCGCGGCCTAAAACCCTTAAAAGATTTAACTCGCGTACTGTCTATAAAAGATGTGTCGATTCGAGCCGAGCTCATTCCATTAACTTTGACAATAATGCGTTCACCAGCGGGATATTCCAGGCCATGAAGTTTATCCCTACAGAAAAGAGATATTACCGTGGGTCTCAAAATGTCTATAGAGCTAGATTTACTTGGCATAAATAGCAGCTTCTGGGTTGTTGTACACTACTAAGACTTCATTGGTCCGCGGTCCACCTGTGAAGGATAGTACAAGTAGTTTTAAATGCTTGCATAGCCCAAATTAGAGGGACAACTTACTTTCGCGCATAATTTGGCAGTGATCTAGACCGGGAATGATATCGAAGAGTCGCCAAAGCTGATCCTGGTTGACGCAGTCGCTGACGATTACCTCAAGGCAAGAGGGCTGGGCTACTGGGACATTCTGCATGCGTAGAAAGGCCGACATGTCGTTGTTCTGCGACAAATTCCAGTCGTTGTTGTAGCTGCCGTTGTTGCCGCCATCCCTGCTATTTCCTCCGTTATTGAAGGCATTATCCTCAGAGGGACGACCGTTCTGGTCCCTCTGTGAGCGAGTAGAACCCTTCGGTTCGGCAAACACTGCCTTGTACTTGGCCGAGCAGTTCTCAAAGGCCACAGCTGCATCGTAGAACCTGTCAATTAAGATATAGTTTAGTCAGGCCTGAAGACTTAGTAACGCTGCATTTGCCACGCACTTGTTGAAGCGGACGTAGCCGAAACCCTTGGGACTGCCACTATTCTTCTCCTTGACAATTGTGACGTGTTCCACCTCGCCCCATTGGGAGAACTCTTCGCGGATGTCCTCCTCGGTGGCCGTTTTGGGGATCACTATGAACAGTCTTACATACTTTTCCTGCTCGTTTTCGGACTTATTCGAGCCCTGATTGCGGCTGAAAAGTTGGAGGCAAGGATTAGGCCCTGCTTGCGGGTATAACCAATATCTAATCTTACTTGGCTGCCACGAGGACTTTCAGGGTGCGGTCCAAGTTGCCGATGGTCTTGCCGTTCATCTCCTCCTGCGCCTTGGCCGCATCAGAGGTCTTGGAGAACTTGACGTAGGCGATTCCCTTGTTCTCCTGGGTGTGCTTGTCCTTTACCACCCAAATGTCCTCGATATCGCCGTAAGGCGAAAATGCCTCGCGGAAGTCCTCCTCCGAGTGGGCCTTGTTGCAAATGATGAACAGCCGCGACATCGGCGGATCGTCATCGTTGGAAAACTCCTCGCGGCCGCCGCGTCCTCCACCATTGCGAGATTGGGATCTGAAGTCCGACATGGTTCTGTTCTACTTTCTGCTTGGATAACTTTTCAACTTTTCAATTCACTTCACTTTTTCCACTTTGCAAATTGATGGCCGTATACACAAAATCTAGTGATGGACGTTACTCGATGATTGTGTGACCGCAAAACCATCGATAAATTCTACTCAGCAGCTCTAAAAAAATATACTTTTTATACCAATTTATTTATTCAAAATATGCCAAACATATTACGAGTGGGCAAACGCCCTCTTTTTTTGAGCTTTCTTTTTCCATTAAGTGGCGGTGGAACTGGTCCATCAGGCTTGGACATCTTCTCGATGCTATTTTGAATGGGTATTACACATGCAAACATGTACGTACGAGTATTTCTTTACCTTCCCAACTATACATATTTGAAACACAAGACGCATTACGATTTCCATAAATTATGATTTTTTTATTGGGCTTCTACAGTAAACTATGAGTAAAAACTAATATATATATGAAAAGAAATGTATTTTACGCACGGCTAAATCGTGAGCTTACGAGACAGAGTCAATACTCTTGAGAAATTTATTATGTTTGTTTATGTTATACAGTTTTTTTCTGTATTACGGGTAGATTTAAAAGTCCCCCAAGCGGTATGTTTAACATACTCGTATGATATAAGAAGCATTGCGGTTTCGTTAGATCCGTTTAAAGGTCGAAAGAGTCATTCTACGAGTGCTCTGTACGAGAGCACCTTGAGTTAGTCAATGGTAGTCAATGGGTATGGTGAATTCGTTGACTGTTTGTTCTCCGTTCGCCGTTTCCGTTTCCGGTCTGCGTTCTTCAGTCTTCGTAGTTATTGTGGCATTCCGTTAAGAGTGTTGCTGTGGTGGCTGTTGTTGTTGTTCTTGTTGTTTGGTCATTAGTCGATTGGTTGTAAGTTAAGTTGGTGGTGGTCAGTTCAACTGTTTTTTATCGGACTGTATTCTCAAGTTAGTTACGTACTCGTACATTGCGTTCTCTGTAAGTTCTTGATTGTCAGTAAGTCTGTGGAGATAAAAAGATAAAAATGGTTTGGCTTATTATGATCCCGCTCAGTGGCGGCATAGATATCGTCATTGGCCAACCGGTGCACGGGGTAAGTACCATACTATTGTCTTGGTCGAACAGAAGTGTTTATACACAAGCGTTAAGCGAATGCGTAAATTAAATCGTTAAGAGGTTTCGGTTCGGAATTTAAACAACTACTTACCTCGGACCACGGCATCACTCCAAATATGGCTACATATAGTACGGGATTTATGATTTCTCATCTATCTACTTACACTCAGTTACGCCTTAGACGTTTGCGCCCACCGTCATCGCCGTCGGATCCATTGCGCTCCTCCGCCTCCATGACCTGAAATAGGATTGAAAGTGATATAATTACTCAATTTAAGCTCAAATAAAATGTCATTACTGAAAGATGCAACTTTTCCATATATAAAGACTCCGAAAAGTTATAAATAAATTTGGTTTGGTGGGTTTCAAGTAAAAAGCGAGTTCAAAGTTCATACCTTAATTTTAGTGCCGCATATTTCGGCGCCGTTTAAAGTGTCAATTGCCAACTGGGCACTCTCAGTCTCCGCAAACTTGACGTAGCCGCAGTTCTTGTTCGGCAGTAGATAGACGTCGATCAGTCCCGACCAGCAGGAGAATATGTTTTTCAAGATCGAAAGCGGTAAATTCTGAATTGTAAAAGATAAAGTGTATAACTAGTGTCAATTGGACACAGTACAGAGGTACCTACCGCTGAGAGCACAATGAACAGACGCTGGGCCACCTGGGCGTCCGGCGAGGCCAGTGGCTGAGTTGGGGGCAAGGGCACATTGCAGATGGCCTCCTTTTTGGTGCGCTCTATAATGAAAAACCACAAGATTATATAAACTAGATAGAGCAACGTTAATCATGCATTTCAAGCCCAGCAAATTTAAGATAGTAAACCAATTAAAAGTGCTTAATAAGTGGCTACAGGTAATGGCGCGGCCTAAAACCCTTAAAAGATTTAACTCGCGTACTGTCTATAAAAGATGTGTCGATTCGAGCCGAGCTCATTCCATTAACTTTGACAATAATGCGTTCACCAGCGGGATATTCCAGGCCATGAAGTTTATCCCTACAGAAAAGAGATATTACCGTGGGTCTCAAAATGTCTATAGAGCTAGATTTACTTGGCATAAATAGCAGCTTCTGGGTTGTTGTACACTACTAAGACTTCATTGGTCCGCGGTCCACCTGTGAAGGATAGTACAAGTAGTTTTAAATGCTTGCATAGCCCAAATTAGAGGGACAACTTACTTTCGCGCATAATTTGGCAGTGATCTAGACCGGGAATGATATCGAAGAGTCGCCAAAGCTGATCCTGGTTGACGCAGTCGCTGACGATTACCTCAAGGCAAGAGGGCTGGGCTACTGGGACATTCTGCATGCGTAGAAAGGCCGACATGTCGTTGTTCTGCGACAAATTCCAGTCGTTGTTGTAGCTGCCGTTGTTGCCGCCATCCCTGCTATTTCCTCCGTTATTGAAGGCATTATCCTCAGAGGGACGACCGTTCTGGTCCCTCTGTGAGCGAGTAGAACCCTTCGGTTCGGCAAACACTGCCTTGTACTTGGCCGAGCAGTTCTCAAAGGCCACAGCTGCATCGTAGAACCTGTCAATTAAGATATAGTTTAGTCAGGCCTGAAGACTTAGTAACGCTGCATTTGCCACGCACTTGTTGAAGCGGACGTAGCCGAAACCCTTGGGACTGCCACTATTCTTCTCCTTGACAATTGTGACGTGTTCCACCTCGCCCCATTGGGAGAACTCTTCGCGGATGTCCTCCTCGGTGGCCGTTTTGGGGATCACTATGAACAGTCTTACATACTTTTCCTGCTCGTTTTCGGACTTATTCGAGCCCTGATTGCGGCTGAAAAGTTGGAGGCAAGGATTAGGCCCTGCTTGCGGGTATAACCAATATCTAATCTTACTTGGCTGCCACGAGGACTTTCAGGGTGCGGTCCAAGTTGCCGATGGTCTTGCCGTTCATCTCCTCCTGCGCCTTGGCCGCATCAGAGGTCTTGGAGAACTTGACGTAGGCGATTCCCTTGTTCTCCTGGGTGTGCTTGTCCTTTACCACCCAAATGTCCTCGATATCGCCGTAAGGCGAAAATGCCTCGCGGAAGTCCTCCTCCGAGTGGGCCTTGTTGCAAATGATGAACAGCCGCGACATCGGCGGATCGTCATCGTTGGAAAACTCCTCGCGGCCGCCGCGTCCTCCACCATTGCGAGATTGGGATCTGAAGTCCGACATGGTTCTGTTCTACTTTCTGCTTGGATAACTTTTCAACTTTTCAATTCACTTCACTTTTTCCACTTTGCAAATTGATGGCCGTATACACAAAATCTAGTGATGGACGTTACTCGATGATTGTGTGACCGCAAAACCATCGATAAATTCTACTCAGCAGCTCTAAAAAAATATACTTTTTATACCAATTTATTTATTCAAAATATGCCAAACATATTACGAGTGGGCAAACGCCCTCTTTTTTTGAGCTTTCTTTTTCCATTAAGTGGCGGTGGAACTGGTCCATCAGGCTTGGACATCTTCTCGATGCTATTTTGAATGGGTATTACACATGCAAACATGTACGTACGAGTATTTCTTTACCTTCCCAACTATACATATTTGAAACACAAGACGCATTACGATTTCCATAAATTATGATTTTTTTATTGGGCTTCTACAGTAAACTATGAGTAAAAACTAATATATATATGAAAAGAAATGTATTTTACGCACGGCTAAATCGTGAGCTTACGAGACAGAGTCAATACTCTTGAGAAATTTATTATGTTTGTTTATGTTATACAGTTTTTTTCTGTATTACGGGTAGATTTAAAAGTCCCCCAAGCGGTATGTTTAACATACTCGTATGATATAAGAAGCATTGCGGTTTCGTTAGATCCGTTTAAAGGTCGAAAGAGTCATTCTACGAGTGCTCTGTACGAGAGCACCTTGAGTTAGTCAATGGTAGTCAATGGGTATGGTGAATTCGTTGACTGTTTGTTCTCCGTTCGCCGTTTCCGTTTCCGGTCTGCGTTCTTCAGTCTTCGTAGTTATTGTGGCATTCCGTTAAGAGTGTTGCTGTGGTGGCTGTTGTTGTTGTTCTTGTTGTTTGGTCATTAGTCGATTGGTTGTAAGTTAAGTTGGTGGTGGTCAGTTCAACTGTTTTTTATCGGACTGTATTCTCAAGTTAGTTACGTACTCGTACATTGCGTTCTCTGTAAGTTCTTGATTGTCAGTAAGTCTGTGGAGATAAAAAGATAAAAATGGTTTGGCTTATTATGATCCCGCTCAGTGGCGGCATAGATATCGTCATTGGCCAACCGGTGCACGGGGTAAGTACCATACTATTGTCTTGGTCGAACAGAAGTGTTTATACACAAGCGTTAAGCGAATGCGTAAATTAAATCGTTAAGAGGTTTCGGTTTGTAATTTGCACAACTACTTACCTCGGACCACGGCACACACTCATTCCAAATATGGCTACATATAGTACGGGATTTATGATTTCTCATCTATCTACTTACACTCAGTTACGCCTTAGACGTTTGCGCCCACCGTCATCGCCGTCGGATCCATTGCGCTCCTCCGCCTCCATGACCTGAAATAGGATTGAAAGTGATATAATTACTCAATTTAAGCTCAAATAAAATGTCATTACTGAAAGATGCAACTTTTCCATATATAAAGACTCCGAAAAGTTATAAATAAATTTGGTTTGGTGGATTTCAAGTAAAAAGCGAGTTCAAAGTTCATACCTTAATTTTAGTGCCGCATATTTCGGCGCCGTTTAAAGTGTCAATTGCCAACTGGGCACTCTCAGTCTCCGCAAACTTGACGTAGCCGCAGTTCTTGTTCGGCAGTAGATAGACGTCGATCAGTCCCGACCAGCAGGAGAATATGTTTTTCAAGATCGAAAGCGGTAAATTCTGAATTGTAAAAGATAAAGTGTATAACTAGTGTCAATTGGACACAGTACAGAGGTACCTACCGCTGAGAGCACAATGAACAGACGCTGGGCCACCTGGGCGTCCGGCGAGGCCAGTGGCTGAGTTGGGGGCAAGGGCACATTGCAGATGGCCTCCTTTTTGGTGCGCTCTATAATGAAAAACCACAAGATTATATAAACTAGATAGAGCAACGTTAATCATGCATTTCAAGCCCAGCAAATTTAAGATAGTAAACCAATTAAAAGTGCTTAATAAGTGGCTACAGGTAATGGCGCGGCCTAAAACCCTTAAAAGATTTAACTCGCGTACTGTCTATAAAGGATGTGTCGATTCGAGCCGAGCTCATTCCATTAACTTTGACAATAATGCGTTCACCAGCGGGATATTCCAGGCCATGAAGTTTATCCCTACAGAAAAGAGATATTACCGTGGGTCTCAAAATGTCTATAGAGCTAGATTTACTTGGCATAAATAGCAGCTTCTGGGTTGTTGTACACTACTAAGACTTCATTGGTCCGCGGTCCACCTGTGAAGGATAGTACAAGTAGTTTTAAATGCTTGCATAGCCCAAATTAGAGGGACAACTTACTTTCGCGCATAATTTGGCAGTGATCTAGACCGGGAATGATATCGAAGAGTCGCCAAAGCTGATCCTGGTTGACGCAGTCGCTGACGATTACCTCAAGGCAAGAGGGCTGGGCTACTGGGACATTCTGCATGCGTAGAAAGGCCGACATGTCGTTGTTCTGCGACAAATTCCAATCGTTGTTGTAGCTGCCGTTGTTGCCGCCATCCCTGCTATTTCCTCCGTTATTGAAGGCATTATCCTCAGAGGGACGACCGTTCTGGTCCCTCTGTGAGCGAGTAGAACCCTTCGGTTCGGCAAACACTGCCTTGTACTTGGCCGAGCAGTTCTCAAAGGCCACAGCTGCATCGTAGAACCTGTCAATTAAGATATAGTTTAGTCAGGCCTGAAGACTTAGTAACGCTGCATTTGCCACGCACTTGTTGAAGCGGACGTAGCCGAAACCCTTGGGACTGCCACTATTCTTCTCCTTGACAATTGTGACGTGTTCCACCTCACCCCATTGGGAGAACTCTTCGCGGATGTCCTCCTCGGTGGCCGTTTTGGGGATCACTATGAACAGTCTTACATACTTTTCCTGCTCGTTTTCGGACTTATTCGAGCCCTGATTGCGGCTGAAAAGTTGGAGGCAAGGATTAGGCCCTGCTTGCGGGTATAACCAATATCTAATCTTACTTGGCTGCCACGAGGACTTTCAGGGTGCGGTCCAAGTTGCCGATGGTCTTGCCGTTCATCTCCTCCTGCGCCTTGGCCGCATCAGAGGTCTTGGAGAACTTGACGTAGGCGATTCCCTTGTTCTCCTGGGTGTGCTTGTCCTTTACCACCCAAATGTCCTCGATATCGCCGTAAGGCGAAAATGCCTCGCGGAAGTCCTCCTCCGAGTGGGCCTTGTTGCAAATGATGAACAGCCGCGACATCGGCGGATCGTCATCGTTGGAAAACTCCTCGCGGCCGCCGCGTCCTCCACCATTGCGAGATTGGGATCTGAAGTCCGACATGGTTCTGTTCTACTTTCTGCTTGGATAACTTTTCAACTTTTCAATTCACTTCACTTTTTCCACTTTGCAAATTGATGGCCGTATACACAAAATCTAGTGATGGACGTTACTCGATGATTGTGTGACCGCAAAACCATCGATAAATTCTACTCAGCAGCTCTACAAAAATATACTTTTTATACCAATTTATTTATTCAAAATATACCAAACATATTACGAGTGGGCAAACATATTTATAACGCCCTCTTTCGAGCTTTCTTTTTCCATTAAGTGGCGGTGGAACTGGTCCATCGGGCTTGGACATCTTCTCGATGCTATTTTGAATGGGTATTACACATGCAAACATGTACGTACGAGTATTTCTTTACCTTCCCAACTATACATATTTGAAACACAAAACGCATTACGATTTCCATAAATTATGAATTTATTATTGGGCTTCTACAGTAAACTATGAGTAAAAACTAATATATATATGAAATGAAATGTATTTTACGCACGGCTAAATCGTGAGTTTACGAGACAGAGTCAATATTCTTGGGAAATTCAATATATTCGAATTCATCGGTTTTCTGTATCTCGTCGGAATACGTTATTAATAGTTTATGTTATACAGTTATTTTCTGTATTACGGGTAGATTCAAAAGTCCCCCAAGCGGTATGTTTACACATATATACGACACTTTGTATATATGATATAGCAAGCATTGCGGTTTCGTTGGATCCGTTTAAGGGTCGAAAGAGTCTTTCTAAAAGTGCTCTGTACGAGAGCCCCTTGAGTTAGTCAATAATAGTCAATGGGTGCAGTGAATTCGTTGGCTGTATGTTCACCCGTCTCCGTTCTCAGTTCGCCGTTTCCGTTTCCGGTCTGTGTTCTCCTGTCTTCGTGGTTCTTGTGACATTCCGTTTAGAGAGTGTTGATGTGTTGGTGGTTGTTGCTGTTCTTGTTGTTTGGTTATTGGTTGGTTGGTTGTTGCGTGGTGGTCAGTTCAACTGTTTTTTATCGGACTGTATTCTCAAGTTAGTTACGTACTCGTACATTGCGTTCTCTGTAAGTTCTTGGTTGTCAGTAAGTCTGTGGAGATAGAAAGATAAAAATGGTTATTATGTTCGCGCTCAGTGGCGGCATAGACATCGTCATTGGCCAACCGGTGCACGGAGTAAATACCATACTATTCGCTTGGTCAAACAGAAGTGTCTGTGCATAAGCGTTAAACGAATGCCCAATTAATATCGGTAATAAGTTTCTGTTTGGAACAACTACTTACCTTGCACTACGGCACACACTCATTCCAAATATGGCTACATATAGATACGGGAATTATGCTTTCTCAACTAGCTACTTACACTCAGTTACGCCTTAGGCGTTTGCGCCCACCGTCATCGCCATCGGATCCATTGCGCTCCTCCGCCTCCATGACCTGAAATAGGATTGGAAGTGATACAATTACTCCATTTACTCCAATTACTCCATTAAAAAATGCCATTACTGAAAGAAGAAACTTTTCATACTTAAAGACTCCAAAAAGTTATAATTAAATTTAATTTGGTGGATTTCAAGTAAAAGCGAGTTCAAAGCTCATACCTTAATTTTAGTGCCGCATATTTCGGCGCCGTTTAGAGTGTCAATTGCCAACTGTGCACTCTCAGTCTCCGCAAACTTGACGTAGCCGCAGTTCTTGTTCGGCAGTAGATAGACGTCGATCAGTCCCGACCAGCAGGAGAATATGTTTTTCAAGATCGAATGCGGTAAATTCTGAATTGTAAAAGACAACGTTCATAACTAATGTCGATTGGACACAGTACAGTGGTACCTACCGCTGAGAGCACAATGAACAGACGCTGGGCCACCTGGGCGTCGGGCGAGGCCAGTGGCTGAGTTGGGGGCAAGGGCACATTGCAGATGGCATCCTTTTTGGTGCGCTCTATAATGAAAAACCACAAGATTATAGAAAAAAGCTTCAGATACGTTAAGCATGCATTGTAAGTATTTAGTAAATGGCTACACGTGATGGCCCGGCCTAAAACCCTTAAAAGATTTAACTTGCGTACTGTCTATAAAGGATGTGTCCATTCGAGCCGAGCTCATTCCATTCACTTTGACAATGATGCGTTCGCCCACGGGATATTCTAGACCATGAAGTTTATCCCTACAGAAAAGAGATATTAAATCGTTGGATTCAAAATGTCCATAGATAGATTTACTTGGCATAAATAGCAGCTTCTGGGTTGTCGTACACTACTAAGACTTCATTGGTGCGCGGTCCACCTGTGAAGGATAGTACAATTAGTTTTAAGTGCTTGCAGAGAAATTAGAAAGATAACTCACTTTCCCGCATGACTTGGCAGTAATCTAGACCGGGAATGATATCGAAGAGTCGCCAGAGCTGATCCTGGTTGACGCAATTGCTGACGTTCACCTCGAGGCACGAGGGCTGGGCTACTGGGGCGTTCTGCATGCGTAGAAAGGCCGACATGTCGTTGTTCTGCGACACATTCCAGTCGTTGTTGTAGCTTCCGTTGTTGCCGCCATCCCTGTTATTTCCTCCGCCATTGAAATTGGAATTGCCACGTCCCGACCCATTGAACAAGGGATTATCCTCGGAGAGACGACCGTACTGGTCTTTCTGTGAGCGAGTAGATCCCTTCGGTTCGGCAAACACTGCCTTGTACTTGGCCGAGCAGTTCTCAAAGGCCACAGCTGCATGGTAGAACCTGTCAATTAAGATACAGATTAGTCAGGCCTAAAGAAACAGTGGCATTTGCCACTCACTTGGTGAAGCGGACGTAGCCGAAACCCTTGGGACTGCCATTATTCTTCTCCTTGACAATTGTGACGTGTTCCACCTCGCCCCATTGGGAGAACTCTTCGCGGATGTCCTCCTCGGTGGCCGTTTTGGGGATCACTATGAACAGTCTTACATACTTTTCCTGCTCGTTTTCGGACTTATTCGAGCCCTGATTGCGGCTGAAAAGTTGGAGGCAAGGATTAGGCCCTGCTTGCGGGTATAACCAATATCTAATCTTACTTGGCTGCCACGAGGACTTTCAGGGTGCGGTCCAAGTTGCCGATGGTCTTGCCGTTCATCTCCTCCTGCGCCTTGGCCGCATCAGAGGTCTTGGAGAACTTGACGTAGGCGATTCCCTTGTTCTCCTGGGTGTGCTTGTCCTTTACCACCCAAATGTCCTCGATATCGCCGTAAGGCGAAAATGCCTCGCGGAAGTCCTCCTCCGAGTGGGCCTTGTTGCAAATGATGAACAGCCGCGACATCGGCGGGTCGTCGTCGTTGGAAAACTCCTCGCGGCCGCCACGTCCTCCACCGCTACGAGATTGGGATCTGAAGTCCGACATAATTCTGTTCTACTTTCTGCTTGGACAACTTTTCAATTCACTTCACTTTTTCCACTTTGCAAATTGATGGCCGTATACACAAAATCTAGTGATGGACGTTACTCGATGTATGTTTGACCGCAAAACCATCGATAAGTTATAGTTTTTGGTTAAGTTCGATATAAACCTAAATTTAAATTGTAGACTATTTTAGACATAATTATACCCGGTACTCGTAGAGTAAAAGGGTATACGAAATTCGTCGGATAGTATGAAACAGGTAAAAGGAAGCTTTTCCGACCCTGTAAAGTATATATATTCTTGATCAGGATCACTAGTCGATCTATCCGTATGAACGCTGTGATCTCGGAAACTATAAAAAAGCTGCAATACTGGGATTAGGCATGCAGATTCTAGAGATTCCTGAGCAGAGCAAGTTTGTTTCGTCAATGTGTCATGCCCAATCTTACGCCCACAAGCCGCCCAAAACTGTGGCTCATACAGTTCTAATGCAAGAATAAAATTTTTTATTCAAATGTATTGTTCTCATCAATACCTATTAATTGACCCAAAAAAAGTTGGCCACGCCCACTTAACGTCCACAAACTTCAAAAATCGTACATATTAACGTGGATATCTCGGAAACTATCAGATAGAGAATTGGGATTTCGGATTTAATTCCGTAGACTTCTTTGCAGCGCTATGTTACGCGAATATGTCACGCCCACTCTAACGCCAAAAAACCAGCCAATCCAGTGGGGCCCACAATTTTCATGCTAGAAAAAAATTTGAACTGAAATATATTAATCTCGTCAATACCTATCGATTGGCTCAAAAATGCAGAGGATATTAGTATTATTTCGTCCATAGTTGCTCATCCCTAGTCTGCGATTTGTTCTCAACTAACGGTTGTGTTCCATGGCGATAGATTCTTATTGGTCAGTTGGAAGTTGGGAAAGGTCCGCCATTTTGAAAATTAACAGTTACTTAAGTTCACCTTTAGCTACCAGCTGTCACTTGCTAAGTTTTCTGTTTGCCTGGTGTCTGAGAGCCATAAATCCAGCATTTTGACAGAAAAAATGTTACGAATCCTTTTAATTTATTAAAGTAAATTAGCGATATTCTAATTTCAAACACCAACGATCAGTTTTTAAGGCCTATCTAGAGGTGTGCCACTTCAAAATATGTAGAGGCTTTGTAGCCGATCAAATGATTGCCCATCTCCAGTCTGCTTTTACTAAACTAACGGTTGTCTTCCAGTAAAAAAATATTATATTATTATATGTTATTATTTTTAGGTTCCCAATATAATTGAAACACACAAAACGCATTGCATTTTTCATAAAGTATGATTTATTTATTGGGCCTCTACAGTAAAATTTGACTTAAATCTAATATATGAAAAGTAATGTATTTTGCGCAGGGCTAAATCGTGAGTTTTCGAGACAGAGTCAATACTCTTGGGAATTCACTATGTTTGAATTCATCGGTTTTCGAGATCTAGTCGAAATGCGTTAGAAATAGTTTATGTTATACAGTTTTTTTCTGTATTAGGGGTAGATTCAAAAATCCCCCAAGCGGTATGTTTACACATATATACGTCATTTTGAATATATGATGTAGCAAGCATTGCGGTTTTGTTAGATCTGTTTAAAGATCGAAAGAGTCATTCTACGAGTGCTCTGTACGAGAGCCCCTTGAGTTAGTCAATAGTAGTAAATGGGTATGGTGAATTCGTTGACTGTTTGTTCTCCGTTCGCCGTTTCCGTTTCCGGTCTGCGTTCTTCAGTCTTCGTAGTTATTGTGGCATTCCGTTAAGAGTGTTGCTGTGGTGGTTGTTGCTGTTGTTCTTGTTGTTTGGTCATTCGTTGGTGGTCAGTTCAACTGTTTCTTAACGGACTGTATTCTCAAGTTAGTTACGTACTCGTACATTGCGTTCTCGGTAAGTTCTTGATTGTCAGTGGGTCTGTAGAGATAAAAAGATAAAAATGGTTGGGCTTATTATGTTCCCGCTCAGTGGCGGCATAGATATAGTCATTGGCCAACCAGTGCACGGGGTAAGTACCATACTATTCGCTTGGTCGAACAGAAGTGTTAAGCGAATGCGTAAGTTAAATCGTTAAGAAATTTTGGTTTGTAATTTGCACAACTACTTACCTCGGACCACGGCACACACTCATTCCAAATATGGCTACATATAGTACGGGATTTATGATTTCTCATCTATCTACTTACACTCAGTTACGCCTTAGACGTTTGCGCCCACCGTCATCGCCGTCGGATCCATTGCGCTCCTCAGCCTCCATGACCTGAAATAGGATTGAAAGTGATATAATTACTCAATTTAAGCTCAAATAAAATGTCATTACTGAAAGATGCAACTTTTCCATATTTAAAGACTCCGAAAAGTTATAAATAAATTTGGTTTGGTGGATTTCAAGTAAAAAGCGAGTTCAAAGTTCATACCTTAATTTTAGTGCCGCATATTTCGGCGCCGTTTAAAGTGTCAATTGCCAACTGGGCACTCTCAGTCTCCGCAAACTTGACGTAGCCGCAGTTCTTGTTCGGCAGTAGATAGACGTCGATCAGTCCCGACCAGCAGGAGAATATGTTTTTCAAGATCGAAAGCGGTAAATTCTGAATTGTAAAAGACAACGTTCATAACTAATGTCGATTGGACACAGTACAGTGGTACCTACCGCAGAGAGCACAATGAACAGACGCTGGGCCACCTGGGCGTCGGGCGAGGCCAGTGGCTGAGTTGGGGGCAAGGGCACATTGCAGATGGCCTCCTTTTTGGTGCGCTCTATAATGAAAAACCACAAGATTATAGAAACTAGATAAAGCAAAGTTTAGCATGCATTTCAGGCCCAGCAAATTTAAGATAGTAAGCCAAGTTAAAGTGTTTAATATATGGCTACAGGTGATGGCGCGGCCTAAAACCCTTAAAAGATTTAACTCGCGTACTGTCTATAAAAGATGTGTCGATTCGAGCCGAGCTCATTCCATTAACTTTGACAATGATGCGTTCACCAGCGGGATATTCCAGGCCATGAAGTTTATCCCTACAGAAAAGAGATATTACCGTGGGTTTCAAAATGTCTATAGAGCTAGATTTACTTGGCATAAATAGCAGCTTCTGGGTTGTTGTACACTACTAAGACTTCATTGGTCCGCGGTCCACCTGTGAAGGATAGTACAAGTAGTTTTAAATGCTTGCATAGCCAACATTAAAGGGACAACTTACTTTCGCGCATAATTTGGCAGTGATCTAGACCGGGAATGATATCGAAGAGTCGCCAAAGCTGATCCTGGTTGACGCAGTCGCTGACGATTACCTCAAGGCAAGAGGGCTGGGCCACTGGGACATTCTGCATGCGTAGAAAGGCCGACATGTCGTTGTTCTGCGACACATTCCAGTCGTTGTTGTAGCTGCCGTTGTTGCCGCCATCCCTGTTATTTCCTCCGCCATTGAAATTGGAATTGCCACGTCCCGAGCCACTGAACAAGGCATTATCCTCGGAGGGACGACCGTACTGGTCCTTCTGTGAGCGAGTAGAACCCTTCGGTTCGGCAAACACAGCCTTATACTTGGCCGAGCAGTTCTCAAAGGCCACAGCTGCATGGTAGAACCTGTCAATTAAGAAAGAGATTAGTCTGGCCTGAAGACTTAGTAACGCTGCATTTGCCACGCACTTGGTGAAGCGGACGTAGCCGAAACCCTTGGGACTGCCATTATTCTTCTCCTTGACAATTGTGACGTGTTCCACCTCGCCCCATTGGGAGAACTCTTCGCGGATGTCCTCATCGGTGGCCGTTTTGGGGATCACTATGAACAGTCTTACATACTTTTCCTGCTCGTTTTCAGACTTATTCGAGCCCTGATTGCGGCTAAGAAGTTGGAGGCAAGGATTAGGCCCTGCTTGCGGGAATAACCAATATCTAATCTTACTTGGCTGCCACGAGGACTTTCAGGGTGCGGTCCAAGTTGCCGATGGTCTTGCCGTTCATCTCCTCCTGCGCCTTGGCCGCATCAGAGGTCTTGGAGAACTTGACGTAGGCGATTCCCTTGTTCTCCTGGGTGTGCTTGTCCTTTACCACCCAAATGTCCTCGATATCGCCGTAAGGCGAAAATGCCTCGCGGAAGTCCTCCTCCGAGTGGGCCTTGTTGCAAATGATGAACAGCCGCGACATCGGCGGATCGTCGTCGTTGGAAAACTCCTCGCGGCCGCCACGTCCTCCACCGCTACGAGATTGGGATCTGAAATCCGACATGGTTCTGTTCTACTTTCTGCTTGGATAACTTTTCAACTTTTCAATTCACTTCACTTTTTCCTCTGTGCCACTTGATAGTATACACAAAATCTAGTGATGGACGCTACTCGATAATTGTGTGATCGCATAACCATCGATAAATTCTACTCAGCAGCTCTGAGAAATATACTTTTTATACCAATTAATTATTCAAAATATACCAAACATATTACGAGTGGGCAAACAAATTTATAACTCCCTCTTTCGAGCGTACTAATGCCTAATCTAAAAGACAAATTATACGTAGGATTCACGACTTTCAGAACGTCGGTCAAATGCTCGTTGTCTCTGGTCTTTTTATTGGCCGCCTTCTTGCGCTTGGGAACGGGCTTCTTGAGGCCAACTGAATGGAAATAAAATATATTTAATTGTTACTTACGGTTTTTGAATTATTATTATAAACTCACCGAAAAGTTAGCGATCGTATCGTTGTAGAATAAAATCTTTTTGTCAATGGGTCTAATGATGAAAAGTATTTCGGCAGCTCTGTTTTTCAGGACCCTTAAAAGTAAAATGCCACCCAGGCCATTTAAATCGTTTTGTTTCAACAATCCTTGATTTTGTAGACTGGCTTGAAACTTTACTTAATGCCGCATGGACACCTTCGGATTGTTGAATAAAATATAACTAACATACTAAACGGATTGGCCAATGTCCAGTTGGTTGGTTTCGTCAATGGTCAGTGGATGTCCATCGCTGTCCTCGTGGAGTGTGCATATGAATTTCACTATCTTGACCAGCACTTTAAAGCGATACTGGGAACTGCCATATTTGGTCTTGTACCCGGGAATGGGTTAAGAGAAGTCCACATGGCTTAGGCCCCATCCCGAGCCAGGATATGCTCTTGAGGAACTCACGTTGAGGCATCCAGCTTAAGAGCCGTCGGAGGACTCATTTTACGCTGGGAATCATCGCCGGGTGGCGGTGGAGCTGGTCCATCGGGCTTGGACTTCTTTTCGATGCTATTTTGAATGGGTATTACACACGACAATTTTTTTGGGTTCCCAAATATAATTGAAACACACAACACGCATTACGTTTTCCATAAAGTACGATTTATTTATTGGGCTTCTACAGTAAAATATGAGTTAAATCTAATATATGAAAAGAAATGTATTTTGCGCACGGCTAAATCGTGAGTTTACGAGACAGAGTCAATACTCTTGAGAAATTTATTATGTTTGTTTATGTTATACAGTTTTTTTCTGTATTACGGGTAGATTTAAAAGTCCCCCAAGCGGTATGTTTAACATACTCGTATGATATAACAAGCATTGCGGTTTCGTTAGATCCGTTTAAAGGTCGAAAGAGTCATTCTACGAGTGCTCTGTACGAGAGCCCCTTGAGTTAGTCAATGGTAGTCAATTGGTATGGTGAATTCGTTGACTGTTTGTTCTCCGTTCGCCGTTTCCGTTTCCGGTCTGCTTTCTTTAGTCTTCGTTGTTCTTGTGGCATTCCGTTAAGAGTGTTGCTGTGGTGGCTGTTGTTGTTGTTCTTGTTGTTTGGTCATTAGTCGATTGGTTGTAAGTTAAGTTGGTGGTGGTCAGTTCAACTGTTTTTTATCGGACTGTATTCTCAAGTTAGTTACGTACTCGTACATTGCGTTCTCTGTAAGTTCTTGATTGTCAGTAAGTCTGTGGAGATAAAAAGATAAAAATGGTTTGGCTTATTATGATCCCGCTCAGTGGCGGCATAGATATCGTCATTGGCCAACCAGTGCACGGGGTAAGTACTATACTATTCGCTTGGTCGAACAGAAGTGTTTATACACAAGCGTTAAGCGAATGCGTAAGTTAAATCGTTAAGAGGTTTCGGTTTGTAATTTCCACAACTACTTACCTCGGACCACGGCACACACTCATTCCAAATATGGCTACATATAGTACGGGATTTATGATTTCTCATCTATCTACTTACACTCAGTTACGCCTTAGACGTTTGCGCCCACCGTCATCGCCGTCGGATCCATTGCGCTCCTCAGCCTCCATGACCTGAAATAGGATTGAAAGTGATATAATTACTCAATTTAAGCTCAAATAAAATGTCATTACTGAAAGATGCAACTTTTCCATATTTAAAGACTCCGAAAAGTTATAAATAAATTTGGTTTGGTGGATTTCAAGTAAAAAGCGAGTTCAAAGTTCATACCTTAATTTTAGTGCCGCATATTTCGGCGCCGTTTAAAGTGTCAATTGCCAACTGGGCACTCTCAGTCTCCGCAAACTTGACGTAGCCGCAGTTCTTGTTCGGCAGTAGATAGACGTCGATCAGTCCCGACCAGCAGGAGAATATGTTTTTCAAGATCGAAAGCGGTAAATTCTGAATTGTAAAAGACAACGTTCATAACTAATGTCGATTGGACACAGTACAGTGGTACCTACCGCAGAGAGCACAATGAACAGACGCTGGGCCACCTGGGCGTCGGGCGAGGCCAGTGGCTGAGTTGGGGGCAAGGGCACATTGCAGATGGCCTCCTTTTTGGTGCGCTCTATAATGAAAAACCACAAGATTATAGAAACTAGATAGAGCAACGTTTAGCATGCATTTCAGGCCCAGCAAATTTAAGATAGTAAACCAATTAAAAGTGCTTAATAAGTGCCTAAAGGTAATGGCGCGGCCTAAGACCCTTATAAGATTTAACTCGCGTACTGTCTATAAAGGATGTGTCGATTCGAGCCGAGCTCATTCCATTAACTTTGACAATGATGCGTTCACCAGCGGGATATTCCAGGCCATGAAGTTTATCCCTACAGAAAGAGATATTACCGTGGGTTTCAAAATGTCTATAGAGCTAGATTTACTTGGCATAAATAGCAGCTTCTGGGTTGTTGTACACTACTAAGACTTCATTGGTCCGCGGTCCACCTGTGAAGGGTAGTGCAAGTAGTTTTAAATGCTTGCATAGCCCAAATTAGAGGGACAACTTACTTTCGCGCATAATTTGGCAGTGATCTAGACCGGGAATGATATCGAAGAGTCGCCAAAGCTGATCCTGGTTGACGCAGTCGCTGACGATTACCTCAAGGCAAGAGGGCTGGGCTACTGGGACATTCTGCATGCGTAGAAAGGCCGACATGTCGTTGTTCTGCGACAAATTCCAGTCATTGTTGTAGCTGCCGTTGTTGCCGCCATCCCTGCTATTTCCTCCGTTATTGAAGGCATTATCCTCAGAGGGACGACCGTTCTGGTCCCTCTGTGAGCGAGTAGAACCCTTCGGTTCGGCAAACACCGCCTTGTACTTGGCCGAGCAGTTCTCAAAGGCCACAGCTGCATCGTAGAACCTGTCAATTAAGATATAGTTTAGTCAGGCATGAAGACTTAGTAACGCTGCATTTGCCACGCACTTGTTGAAGCGGACGTAGCCGAAACCCTTGGGACTGCCACTATTCTTCTCCTTGACAATTGTGACGTGTTCCACCTCGCCCCATTGGGAGAACTCTTCGCGGATGTCCTCCTCGGTGGCCGTTTTGGGGATCACTATGAACAGTCTTACATACTTTTCCTGCTCGTTTTCGGACTTATTCGAGCCCTGATTGCGGCTGAAAAGTTGGAGGCAAGCATTAGGCCCTGCTTGCGGGTATAACAAATATCTAATCTTACTTGGCTGCCACGAGGACTTTCAGGGTGCGGTCCAAGTTGCCGATGGTCTTGCCGTTCATCTCCTCCTGCGCCTTGGCCGCATCAGAGGTCTTGGAGAACTTGACGTAGGCGATTCCCTTGTTCTCCTGGGTGTGCTTGTCCTTTACCACCCAAATGTCCTCGATATCGCCGTAAGGCGAAAATGCCTCGCGGAAGTCCTCCTCCGAGTGGGCCTTGTTGCAAATGATGAACAGCCGCGACATCGGCGGATCGTCGTCGTTGGAAAACTCCTCGCGGCCGCCACGTCCTCCACCGCTACGAGATTGGGATCTGAAATCCGACATGGTTCTGTTCTACTTTCTGCTTGGATAACTTTTCAACTTTTCAATTCACTTCACTTTTTCCTCTGTGCCACTTGATAGTATACACAAAATCTAGTGATGGACGCTACTCGATAATTGTGTGATCGCATAACCATCGATAAATTCTACTCAGCAGCTCTGAGAAATATACTTTTTATACCAATTAATTATTCAAAATATACCAAACATATTACGAGTGGGCAAACAAATTTATAACTCCCTCTTTCGAGCGTACTAATGCCTAATCTAAAAGACAAATTATACGTAGGATTCACGACTTTCAGAACGTCGGTCAAATGCTCGTTGTCTCTGGTCTTTTTATTGGCCGCCTTCTTGCGCTTGGGAACGGGCTTCTTGAGGCCAACTGAATGGAAATAAAATATATTTAATTGTTACTTACGGTTTTTGAATTATTATTATAAACTCACCGAAAAGTTAGCGATCGTATCGTTGTAGAATAAAATCTTTTTGTCAATGGGTCTAATGATGAAAAGTATTTCGGCAGCTCTGTTTTTCAGGACCCTTAAAAGTAAAATGCCACCCAGGCCATTTAAATCGTTTTGTTTCAACAATCCTTGATTTTGTAGACTGGCTTGAAACTTTACTTAATGCCGCATGGACACCTTCGGATTGTTGAATAAAATATAACTAACATACTAAACGGATTGGCCAATGTCCAGTTGGTTGGTTTCGTCAATGGTCAGTGGATGTCCATCGCTGTCCTCGTGGAGTGTGCATATGAATTTCACTATCTTGACCAGCACTTTAAAGCGATACTGGGAACTGCCATATTTGGTCTTGTACCGGGAATGGGTTAAGAGAAGTCCACATGGCTTAGGCCCCATCCCGAGCCAGGATATGCTCTTGAGGAACTCACGTTGAGGCATCCAGCTTAAGAGCCGTCGGAGGACTCATTTTACGCTGGGAATCATCGCCGGGTGGCGGTGGAGCTGGTCCATCGGGCTTGGACTTCTTTTCGATGCTATTTTGAATGGGTATTACACACGACAATTTTTTTGGGTTCCCAAATATAATTGAAACACACAACACGCATTACGTTTTCCATAAAGTACGATTTATTTATTGGGCTTCTACAGTAAAATATGAGTTA